TTCGTGGGCGATGACTTGGGGTCTCGTTGGGATGGGGAGACCAGGACCAGCTCGACCCCCATCCTGTGAGGCCCAGGCCAAGGCCCAAAGCCTATTCCCACCTGGGTTGGCCCAGCACCGGTAACCTACTGCAGGGACCAGACGCATTTCTGCCAAAAGCTGCTGGGTTTTGAGATTTGTTTCTGAGTCTCTGGGATCGCGACAAATTTCGTCACTGCGGGCCCAGACCTGACTGTTCAATGGCCTCTGGAGAATGACGGCCACTGAGCCGCCAAGGGGTAGCAGGCGGAGGGGCAACACCCTTTCCACCCTGGGTTGGCCCAGTGACAGTAACCTACTGCATTGTTCGGATACATTTCTTCCAAAAACCGCTGGGTGTCGAGATTTGTTTCTGAGTCTCTGGGATCATGACTGATAAGCAGCTTGATCAGGAGCCAGAGAAGCCATTTGTGGGCGATGACTTGGGGGTCTTGTTGGGGTGGGGAGGACAGGCCCGGCTTTCCTCCAACATCTTGTGAGTCCCAACAAGTTTTGTCACTGTGGGCCCAAGCCTGACTGTCCAATGGCCTCTGGAGGATGGTGGCCACTAGCCGCTATGGGGAAGTACGTGGACGAACAGCACCCTTTCCCCCCTGGGGTGGCCTGGCAACAGTAACCTACTGTGTGGTCCGGACGTATTTCTCTCAAAAGCCGCTGGGTTTCGGGACATGTTTCTGAGTCTCTGGGATCAAGGCCATTAAGCAGCTTGATCAGGAGCCAGAGAAGCTGTTTGTGGGCGATGACTTGGGGTCTCGTTGGGGTGGGGAGGACAGGAACAGTCTTTTTTTAATTAATTAATTAATTTTTTAATAGTGAGACATCATGAGGTATAGTTGCAGACTTACACATTTTTGTGCTTGGGTTTCAATTATACAATGATCAAACACCCATCCCTCCACCAGCGCGCATTTCCCACCACCACGGATCCCAGTATCCCTCCCACCCCCCAGCCCCCATCCCACCCTGCCTCTGTGGCAGGGCATTTCCATCACTCTCCTTTTGAGTGCTGTGGTTTGCAAAAGAGGCATTGAGTGGCAATCATGTTCAGTCGATAATCTACTTTCAGCATGCTTCTCCCATCCTGGGGTGATCCTCCCAACACCCTTTATTTGGTGCTCACTTATCTATCTGAGCTCCCTTTTCCCCTAACATGTGTGGTTGTCCTCCGGGTCATTGAGTAAAATTCCTGGTACTAATCTCTGCCATTCTTGGGTGTTAGTTTCCTATTTTGTTACTTTATGTTCCCCAGATGAATGCAAATTTTCTATGTCTATCCCTTTCTTTCTGAGTCATTTAGCTTAAGATGATACTTTCCATGTAGGACCACTTGTATGTAAATTTCATGACTTCGTCTTTTCTAACAGCTACATAGTACTCCACTGTGTAAATGTACCAAAGTTTCTTTAACCAGTCATCTGTTCTCGGCACTCAGTTTTTTTCCAGATTCTGGCTATTGTAAAGAGTGCTGCAATAAAAGACAATTGCAGATGTCACTTCGGCTATACTTTTTTGGCTCTCTGGGATATATTTCCAGGAGTGGTATTGCTGGGTCAAATAGGAGCTCAATTTCTAGATTTTTGAGAATCATCCATACTGTTTTCCAAAAGGGCTGAACCAGTCGTCATTCCCACCAACAGTGAAGGAGTGTCCCTTTCTCACCACATCCGCGCCAGCACCGGTTGCTTTTGTTCTTGTGGATATGGGCCAGTCTCTGTAGTGTGAAGTGATATCTCATTGTGGCTTGATCTGCATCTCCCTGATGATTAATGATGTGGAACATTTTCTCATGTGTCTTTTAGCCATTCGGATTTCTTCTTTGTCAAAGTTTCTATTCATTTCATCTCCCCATTTTTTGATGGGGTTGAATGTTTTCTTTTTGTGGAGTTGAACCAGTATTTTGTATATCCTTGAAATTAACCCTTTATCAGATGTGTAGTTGGCGAATATACTTTCCCATTCTGTTGACTGTCTTTGTATTTTGGTCACTGTTTCCTTTGAGGTGCAGAAGCTTCTTAGTTTAAGATAGTTCCATTTGTCTATCTCTGTTTTCACTTGCTTGGCCAGCGGTGTGACATCTTTGAAGACACTATTAGCTTCTATGTCATGAAGGTTTTCGCCAACATTTTCCTCAATGTATCTTATAGATTCCGGTCTGATGTTGAGGTCTTTAATCCACTTAGATCTTACTTTTGTACATGGAGTTAGGCAGAGATCTGAGCCCATTTTTTTGCATGTAGCCGTCCAGTTTTGCCAGCATAATTTGTTAAAGAGGCTTTCCCTGCTCCACTTCACTTTTCTTGCCCCCTTATCGAAGATTAGATGTTCGTATGCTTGGGGGGGGGGGCATCAGTATATTCAACCCTGTTGCATTGGTCTACCGCTCTGCCTTTGTTCCGGTACCATGCTGTTTTAATTATTACTGCCTTGTAGTAGAGTTTGAAGTTAGGGAGGTTGATTCCTCCCATTTTCTTTTTCCCAAGAATTGCTTTAGCTATTCGTGGGGGCTTATTGTTCCATATAAATTTCAGGAGTGTTTGCTCCAATTCGTTGGAGAATGTCATGGATATCCTAATAGGAATTGCGTTGAATTTATACAGTGCTTTGGGAAGTATTGCCATTTTGACAATGTTAAATCTCCCGATCCATGAACAGGGGATATTTTTCCATTTCCTCGTATCATCTTTTATTTCCTGAAGTAGAGTTTTCTAGTTTTCTTTGAACAGGTCCTTTACTTCCTTAGTTAAGGTGATTCCTAGGTACTTGATTTTCTGGGGCACAATTGTGAATGGGATTGTTTTCTTCATGTCTTTTTCTTCTTTCACTATTTGCATATAGGAAAGCCATGGACTTTTGGGTATTGACTTTATAGCCTGCCACTTTACTACACAAGCCTATTGTTTCTAGAAGTTTCTTGATAGAGGTTTTAGGGTTTTCTACGTATAGTATCATATCATCTGCAAATAGTGAGAGCTTGATTTCTTCCTTTCCTATTGAAAGTGCTTCCAGTACTATATTGAACAGCAGTGGAGAGAGTGGACATCCTTGTCTCGTCCCTGATCTTAGAGGGAAGGCTTTCAGTTTTTCGCCATTGAGGAAGATGCTTGCTGTAGGCTTGTGGTAGATGGCTTTAACTATATTCAGAAAAGTCCCCTCTATCCCCATTTTGGCTAGGGTTTTCATCATAAATGGGTGCTGAATCTTGTCAAATGCTTTCTCTGGATCTATTGATATGATCATATGATTTTTATCTTTTCTTTTGTTGATATGGTGGATTATGTTGATTGATTTCTGAGTGTTAAACCAGCCTTGCATCCCCGGGATGAATCCTACTTGGTCATGGTGTATGATCTTTTTGATGAGTAGTTGAATTCTATTTGCTAGTATTTTGTTGAGAATCTTCACATCCGTGTTCATCAGGGATATCGGCCTGTAGTTTTCTTTTCTCGTGGTATCTTTGTTTCCTTTTGGTATTAGAGAGATATGGGCTTCATAGAAACTGTTTGGGAGAGTTTCCGTTTTTTCAATTTCCTGAAAGAGCTTGAGAAGTACTGGCAGCAGGTCCTCTTTAAATGTTTGGAAAAATTCGCTAGTGAATCCATCTGGGCCCGGGCTTTTGTTTTGGGGAAGGCTTTTCATTACAGTTTCTATTTCGTTGATGTTAATAGGTCTATTCAGATACTCCAGGTCTTCTTGATTCAGCTTTGGGAGATTATAGGAGTCCAGGAATTTGTCCATTTCTTCTAGGTTCTCTTGTTTCGTGGCATACAGACTTTCAAAGTAGTCTCTGATGATCTTTTGGATTTCTTTGGTTTCTCTTGTGATATCCCCCTTCTCATTTCTGATTCATTTTATTAGGGTTCTCTCTCTCTGTTTCTTTGTGAGTTTTGCGAGTGGTTTATCTATCTTGTTTATTCTCTCGAAGAACCAGCTCTTGGTTTCATTGATCTTTCGGATTATTTCTTTGGTTTCCACGTCATTGATTTCTGCTCTAAGTTTTATGATCTCTTTCCTTCTGCCTGATTTAGGCTCTTTCTGTTGATCCTTTTCTAAGGACTTGAGCTGTGAGGTCAAATTGTTTATGTGCACCATTTCTACAGACCTAAGATATGCTTGCAGAGCTATAAATTTTCCCCTTAATACAGCTTTCGCTGCATCCCATAGGTTCTGGTAGCTCGTGTCTTCATTCTCATTTGTTTCCAAGTATCTTTTGATTTCGTCCTTGACTTCATTCCTGACCCACTCGTTGTTCAGCATCAAGTTGTTTAATTTCCAGGTTTTTGATTTGGTTCTCTGTGTCTGTGTGTGATTCACTTCTATCCTCAGTGCATCATGGTCTGAAAAGATGGCTGATACTATTTCTATCTTCCTTATTCTGTTGAGGTATGTTTTGTGTCCTAGCACATGGTCTATTTTGGAAAATGAGGAACAGTCTTTTTTGAACAACTAATTTTTATTTTTTGAAAATCACCAACAGGAAATGAGGTAAATTTATTTTAAAATTTATTAAAAATAAATAAGCTGATTTTCTGTTTATCAACTACCATTTACAATAAATGGGCTTATTTAAATTAAATGAGCTGATTTACTTTTTATCAACGATAATATTAATCACTTCCTATTATGGAATTATTATTATGCATTTCTTTATTATATCTTTTTCTTATCATATACCTATATTTTGTAGATTGTTTACCTAAGCAGCTTTTTTCTGGTATCCATTTATGGTTTTGAATAATCTTAATAATTTGAGGTAGTATAGTTTAAGCAAACCGTAGAGCCTGGCAAGCTCCCTGTGGCGTGTTCAATATGCCAAAAACAGTAACAACAAGTCTCACAATGGAGACATTACTGGTGCCCGCTCAAGCAAATCGATGAACAATGAGAGGACAATGCTACAGTGCTACATGGATGTATGATTTGTGATATTTAAACTTTAATTTTTGTTTGTTTTTTTATTCCAGGAAGCAGAAACCCAGGCAAAGCAGCAAGCATGAGACTTTATCATTTCGCCTTGAGCATCCTGAAAAGAAAGTCCCAATTGTTTTTATAAAATAAAAAATATTATATTGACATCAAAGAAAATAGGTTTAATGTAAAGGAAATAAGTTTAATGTTGCAATAATTGATTAGATGGTTGTTTTCAATTCCAAATTAATGCATAAATAAAATTTAAATATTATGGTGAGGACAAGGTGTGATAAGCAAAGAAGTTAAGTAGCTGTCATGAGACAGTATTGTTATTTGGAAAGGCAATTCATTTATATATTTCAGTGATTTTCAATAGCAAACACCAGGGCTTGAGTGATGGTACAGCAGGTGTGCTCTTGCCTTGCATGCAGCCAACCTGGGTTCAGTACTCCACCTGTGGTCCCCAAAGCAATGCTAGCAATGATGCAAGGTCTAGAGCAAGCCTAAGCACTGCTGGGTGTGACCCCAAAACAACAAAATTAAATTAAATACCTGTCATCTTTTTAGGTATTATCATTAAAGCTTAAGTTTATTTGTGGTTCTACATTAAGAGAGAAAAAGAAAATCTCTTGTTCCAATATTGCCACATTAAATTTAGTAAACAAGCACGTATACCTTTTGGATGTGGTATTACAGAACTTAAAAAGAAGCCGAAGTTATGCTTATATTTAAGAAATAGTAATTTTTGAGGTGATTATAACATTTCCATACTTTTTAGTTAACATTTTAATTTACCAATCCACAGGTTTCCTAGGATTCTTCATATAGCCTTTCATTGCACACTTCAGTGATAAGAGCTTCTGAACACAAACAAACATAAACATATAGTAGTAGACGGTTTTCTTGAATAACTACCAGCTCTGCTGGAATCATGTTTCTAAGTTGGTTTCTGCACGGAAGTAAGCATTTTTATATTATGGAAGTGGAATGACAATTTTTAAATTGCATCATTTTATAAAAAGCTCAGTCTTTAATTTCAGATTATGTCACTCATTTATTTACAAAGACTGGTTTATCTTTTTGCCTAAAAATAAACACCAAAAAAACCTTTTGGGCAGGAAACATAGTACAGTAGGTTGCTTGGCTTTCATGTGGCTGACCTGGATTTGAGACCCTGCACCCCATGTGGTCCCTTGAGCCTTCACCAAAAATGATCCCTTAGTGCAGTGCCAGGAATAATCCTTGAACACTGTCAGGTGTGAATCAAAAACAAATAAAACAAAAGTTTAGTGCCTTGATTCTTTTAAAACAACTTTAAATCATGTCAGGTACTATCTCAGATATTTTATATTTTTGTTTCAGTTTAGGCATGTGTTTTGGGAGACCATTTAAAAAAAGATTTTTTTAAATTCCCTTAAATAGTGCAAGTGCCAGATAAAAGGAACACTTTTTAAAAATTTTATTTCCGAAGACTTTCAAGAAGCCAAGAAGCATTGTAACTTAAATTGCTTATCCATAAGATGCACAAAATTATACTTTGCCTCTACACTAGTGCTAAAAGCAGACATATTCTATTTTAAACAATTTTGCTGTGCTTTTATTGTATCATTAGATATATTCAAGCTTATTGTATTTGCCAAAATCAACATAAAATGAAGAGATGACTTCAATGAAAATGAAACGTGATGGATGCTTAAAATAAACTCAGTACTTGCAGAAGCATAATTCATGTATTCCTGAAGTTTCTGAATTATACAAAAATAAGTTTTGATGAGCAATGCATTTTTTAGAATGTGGTAAAGAATTTAAAAGAAGCCAGTAACAATGAAAACTAATTCTAATTTTGAAGTTACCTTTTCAGGATCTGAATTTTGCTGTTTTTTTCTGAATAAAGTCATGAAGCATTTTGTTCAAAATCGACAAAATTAACTTCATAGAAAAAAATGTGTAACAGATTCTGAAAAACATTGAATAAATAATGATCAGTATATTCTGTAGAGATTTATTAAACACTGATGATGCTACTTGCAGTTTTTTAGTTTCTAATTAGTTTTCTATAACAGGCATTTTTCAAACGTGACATTTTTTAGATATTTATATCTACTGTACTTGCTCACAATTAATCTACATAAAGTTGTCTTTTATAATATTTAAAAAGGAAATCTAGTCCTTGCTATTTGTTTTATATTTTTGACACTTTTCTATTTATAAATAAGTCCCACTGATTTTTTGTTTTTAATTTTAGAGCTTAATACCCTTAAGAATATGTGATTTTTTTGGTCAAAGAGATGGCACACCAGGTAAGCCTTGCACACAGATGGCCCAGGTTTGATCCCAGAAGCACCACCAGTAGTGATCTCTGAGCACAGAGCCAGGAAAACGCCTTAAGCACTGCCAGTTGTAATCCCAAAGCAGAGAGAAAAAAATTGACTTTCTGGAAGAGTTTCATTTTCACCAGTGTAAATTGTTTATTGAGTACATCATTTTCAACACTTCCTTGGAAGTCTGAGCATAAGTTAAAACAGAAAACAGTATTTTGAAACAGAGACTGTCAAATCCTTGTTTAGCAAATTCAGAAAACGGAATTTTGTGGCTTTAGGTTTTTTATACACATTCCCTTTGTTCAACAAAAGAAAGCCTTTTTAAAAAGACTTCACAATGATAAATGATAAATAGCATTTATCTCATTTTTATTTGAAAAATAACAATTCCTGTTCTTTTAAAAATCAGATTCTTTAATTTTTATTATTTTTTTAAATCACTGTGAGATAGACCCTTACAAAGCTGTTCACAACTAGGTTTCAGTGATAGTGTTCCACACTAATCCCTCTACCAGTATACATTTCCCAGCACCAGTGACCTCCATTTCCTTCCCATCAGCCTCAACCCCCACCCCTAGCCTACCTTTATGCAGGCGCTTTTCTTCTTTCTCTCTCTCTCATTCTCTCTCTCTCTCTCTCTCCTACCTTTTGGGCATTGTGGTTTGCAATAAAGTTATTGAAAGATTATCAGGAATATCCCTCCACCTATTTTTAGCACACAGTTTTTGTCCAAAGTGATCATTTTCAGCTATTATTGTCACAAAGCTTCCTGCTCTATCTTACCTACCCTCTGGCCCACAAATATTTGTGGTTGATTCCAACCATTGACCAGTCCTCCTAGGCCATTTTCCCTGGTCTGGGATATAGATAGATAAATAGATAGATATGATATGATATGATATGATATATGGATATATGGGCTGGAGTGATAGCACAGCGGGTAGGATGTTTGCCTTGCACATGGCTGACCCGGGTTCGATTCCTCTCAGAGAGCCCGGCAAGCTACCAAAAATATCCCGCATGCACAGAAGAGTCTGGCAAGCTCCCCGTGGCATATTCGATATGCCAAAAACAGTAACAATTAGTCTCACAGTGGAGACGTTACTGGTGCCCACTCGAGCAAATGGATGAACAATGGGAGGACAGTGCTATTAAATGACAATGCTATATATATATATATATATATATATGCACACATATATACATATATATGTACATATATAACAAAATCCAAATAAAATGTTTTATTTCACTGCTCATATACTCCTGAAATTCCTTTTTGTGAGAAAGACAAAGAATCTGTAAACCCAAGTAAGGCTAAAGACTGACTTCTCAGACTTTATCAGTCCTAACCTTCCCAGATGGTTCTTGGGTGGCAGAGGCAGATCAGGATAAAATGACCATCTCTTTCCTCTCTGCCTCATATAATCCCTCTGTGGAGAGGGGGTGGCTCACCGACTTCATATATACATAGGCACATAAAGAGGGTATTATCATTTTCAGTTCAAGTGTATCTACGAACTGAGAGATAGGAAAGCTGTTTGCCCTTCCTTCCCTGAGAGCAATTTCACACTCCAAAGCAGAAATTTCTGGTCAGGTTCCTGGGGCTTGTGCACCTCTCTCATTCTCACAGCGTTGACTTCTCTAAATCTTTGCATGGAGCTTCCTGCTTATTCTCAGAAATTATAGGTGGGAGAAGATGATGTTGCACTGTCTGATACACTGTCCACAGGGAAGAGGAGAGTGACAAGATGATATGATACAGTGACAGGAGCGCACAGACATTCAGGGCTGACTATCTCCAGAGTTGTTTCAGAAGGTAGCACTGGCTCTACCATTTTTGAGGCCACTTTTGTCCTTGCTTATTTGTTTTGTTGTATTTGGGTATGGATCATACCACCTGTTTCTTGAAGAGTACTCCCAATGCAGTGCTCAAGATTCACTCCTGCCAGGTCTTGGACCCTGTGGGGTGCCATGGATCCAAGACTGGTTGACTTTGTTTTCTTTGGGAAGGTTGGGGACCACACCCAGTGACTCTTGGGGTTTCTCCTTGCTCTGCACTCTGCATTGCCCTGGCAGTGCTTGGGGGACCATATGGGACCCAGGGTCACCAGCCCTATCCGTTCTTCTTTTGGGTTTATTTTTGTGCCACAGTGGAGGTGCTAAGGGCTTCCTCTTGCTCTCTTCTCTGGATTCACCCCTAATGGGCATCGGAGCGCTCAGGCCACATGGCCCCATATGTGCCCTGTCAGCTACAGTGACTCAGGACCCAGTACACGCGTTTCTCCTGTTTTGCCTTTCCCGCTCTGGAGAGCCTCGCCTGCTCAGTCACACACTCTCACGTTCACTCGCTGCTGTGTTTGCAGTTCTGAGCATGCACTGGTCCAAGGGAGATAAAGCAAAGGATCTCTGGAACTGGCAGAGGGGTTGGGCGTCAGGTCATTTCTGCCTGTTTGAGAGGATGTTGCCATGCACATGGCCGACCCCAGGTTTGATTCCTCTGTCACTCGGAGAGCCTGGAAAGCTACTGAGAGTATCCCGCCCTCACGGCAGAGTCTGGCAAGCTCCCTGTGGTGTATTAAATATGCCAAAAACAGTAACAAGTCTCACAATTTGTTGTGAGACATTACTGGTGCCCACTCGAGCAAATCGATGAACAACGGGAGGACAGTGACAATGATACTAGTCAAATAATTCATACAGATAAAGACAAATGGCATATAATTTCATAATTTTAAGAATTAAAAAAACAGTGAAGTTCATTAATTCCAAGGTCAGATTTGTGGTTACCAGAGGCAAAGGATGAGCAATGTTTGGATGAGCAAAATGGTCAAAGTGCATTAAAAGTTGCTAACTTTAGTTAAGAAACAAGTCATTTTGGGGGTATGGTGCCGCCAGCAGGTCAATCTGTACTTGTGAGGCGAGTGAATCAGCAGCCTGATGGCACCGTCAGACTTTCAGATACCCCAAAATTGCTGCTGTGCCTTTGGCCAGACCCCAAAAATTTGGGGCAAAGTTTACCAAGAAAGTAAACGGCCAAAAGTTAGGTATGTGGGAGACATACCCACAAACCACTGCAGGCTCAGCTATATAATTGGAATCATGGCCTCTCTGGTTCCTAATCGAACTGCTTAATGGCCATGATCCCAGAGACTCAGAAATGAATCTCGGAACCCAAAGACTTTTGGCAGAAACGTGTCCTGTTCCTGCAGTAGGTTATTGGGGCTGGGCCACTCCAGGTGGGAATAGGTTTTGTGCATTGGCCTGCTCCCCTTGGAGGCCCAGTGACCACCATCCTCCAGAGGCCACAGGACAGTCAGGTTTGGGCCTGCAGTGATGAGACACACGGGGCCTCACCAGATGGGGATGGAACCGGTCCTTTCCTCCCCATCCCAGCGAGACCCCGAGTCGCCGCTTACCAATGGCCTCTCTGGCTCCTGATCAATCTGCTTAAAGGCCATGAACCCAGAGACACAGAAACAAATCGTGAAACCCAGTGGCTTTTGGCAGATATGCGTCTGGACCGCATATAAGGTGACCGCCACCTCAGAGCTTATTGGATAGCCAGGTATAAGCCAGTGATGACGGGGCAACTGCAGTCTCATGGGAAGGGGGGCAGTACCGGCTCATCCTTCACGCCCTACCAAGGTCATGAGTTGCCCCCCATGAGTGGCTCTACGGCAAAGCCATAACACCAGATGCAAAGAAACAAATCTTGTAATTATCTGGCTCTTTGCAGAAATCCAGAATCATATGATTCTCATAACCAGCTATAGAAAACAAAGTATTTCACAATGCCTTTTCAGCAATTCTGATTGTTGGGGGGGGAATTCTAAACAATAATGGTGCATCTTTTGTCGAAATAATGAATGTAATCAATATAGAAAAGAGTTAAGTGGAAATCATCTGCCTCACAGGCATTGGGAGGGGTGGGAGGTGCGTATATTGGGGTTCTTGGTGGTGAAAAATGAGTAATGGTGAAGGGAAAGCTGTTTGATCATTGTATGACCGAGACTTAAATCTGAATGCTTAGTAACTTTTCCCACAGCGATTCAATAAATAAATATAAGAAGAAAAATAAATAAATAAATAAAATTATGAAAAAAAAGTAAGGTGAAGTTCATGCCCAATTTAATCAGCTAATCAGTGGCTGAATAAATAGCAGTACTCCTACATAAAAAAAGAAACAAGTCATATGAAGTTAATGTACTGCACAATAACTAAAGCTAATAATACACAAATATTGTATATTTGAAAGATGTTAAGAATTTTCAATACAAAAGAATTATGCAATAAGGTGTATTATCTATGCTAGACATTCATAATGCTTATTTCATAATATATACATATATTTGTATATGGAAACCAATATAACATTAGGTGCTACTGTTGCCCACACGAGCA